AAGACATTCGACACGCTGTTTTACATGATGAGATGTTACTTCTGAAATCTGGATTCTAAAATTCTCCTATCAAACAGAACTAACCAGCCAAGCCTTGCTCAAAAAACATTACCTATTCCCCAGCTAGATAACTATTTGAAAATCAAGCCCTTTCGAAAGCCTTTGAAGCATAACATTTACAATTTGACATATAGGATTGAAAGAAAATAAATAAACTGCTTAAACTAGCTTTCCAGTTCTTCTCCTACAAGCAGCCAAACGAAGCTCTGATTCCTGGAATATCCCTGGAAAAACGACGAGTTGTCACTCAAGGTGGGCCAATATGTCAGTATGGAACCACATTATGTAAGGAACCATGTATTAGTAGAATTGTCACTAGCATATAATGCTTATCGTCATATCATGCTGGAAAAATTTACTCAGGAACTGTGGCATCTACGGCAAACAGCAACTATCCAAAATCGATGACGTGTGCTTGGTGACATCATCATGCAGATCTTGCCATAACCAACTTGCACCTAAAGATCTTATGTAAATAAGCACATCGCAGCATTTCTGCAATGCCATCATCACACCTGGGTCATTTGCCTCTTCTGTAGACCCCTGTGCTCAAGAAAGTTTCATAGCCTGCAGAAAAGTACCGGAAGGACCATTCTGAAAAAGATGGAGCAAGATATGGTTCTCACCACAAAAGAGGATTTCCAGAACCAGAGAGGGTCCCCATGGGAACTGGATGAGGCCAGGGCACTTTGGTGGAAAAGTACTAGGAGGTGAATCAAAAATGCCAAGTTGGGTATATCCAAAGGTTGATGGCTAGTCAGCTTATTGGAAAGTATAAATTTTTATGGCAACATTAGTCCATGGAAACGATCACGTGCAGTGAGCATTCTGTGTGAGCATTCTTCTGATTCTTCTGGAACGCGAACCTAGTTTGATCAACTAGATGTTGAGTTGGGAAAGTATTCTTGGGTAGCAGTGAGCCATGTAGAGTGGCTTTTTAATTCATCCTTGTCTGCGAGATAAATCCCACTGAGTTCAATGGGTTTCTCTCCTGTGGAGAGGTGCAGCAAGGGCCTTCAAGGGGGCTCAGATCAGCTGGGTGAAACATTTTGGGCAGCTGGACACCTCAAAAGTGGTGGGACAACCACTGATGCCACGAAACAGGGTGGCAGGAGGTTATTATGGAATCAGTATCCTTGTACCAGTCAGCTAATTCATTGGTTGCCATCTCCTGGAACACATTTCGTCTTGTTCAGTCTTGACATTTTGAGCACCATGCTCTTCTCTCCTCTCTCAAATACAGCTGCTCTGTCAATACTCATTAGAATCCCAGTCTCGATCTGCCTAATGGCTTTGCTAGCCATGTTTAGCCCCTATCACCTTCACAATCTGATGATTTATTATCCTTGCTAATTATCCATTGTCTCACAGTCAACTTGCCAGCCTGCGATGGGTAATTCAATTGTCTATTTCAACAAACCTGAACCTTTTCAATGATGCCCTATCAAAGCAGGGGGCCGGAGAGAGATGACCTCTTCTACTGGGAGCAATGGAAGATAAAGAACTCGATCCCTCCTTTTTATTTTGTCAGCTTAGCCTATCAGTGTTCCCTAAAATCTAGCCCGCCTCCTAGTTTATGCATTAAGTTAATAGATGTGACTGGAATATTAATGCCCTTGGCATGCGAGGAGATGGTTGCTCTTTGTAATTTCATGCCAAATGAAACATAGCACGCTGCCTTCTATGTACATGTGGGGACGGTCAGTGGAATGTCTCCTTTTCTTAAGTTGGATTCAAGCTGTCAGATGTTGACCTGTCTTGGGAAGCCTGCAAAGGGTTACTTCTCTTCTTCCTTGCATGGTTGCAACCTGGTTAGGACATTAGTCCCATCAGTGCAAATGCAGTCAGTCAAGTAATGAGGGTTATGAAACATCTCAGATCCTCATAGACTTCTCAGCTTTCAAGTTTGTGATGGGGCTCCTCTTCCTTGGCTCACCCCATTTCATTCCTGTTTTGCCCTTCACTCTCCAATTCATCGGGGGTTTACTTCTTTCTGTTTCTTCGTGCCCCATTGCTTGGAGTAGGGGTGGGGGGGAAGAAGCACAGCTTGCAGAATATAGTGCAGTTACACTTGGGGACTGAAGATGTTATGTGGGTCTTGTGATTGCTAAAAATATGTTGGGGATGATGCTACCTTGTAGCCCCGGCTGTAAACCTAGTAGGAATGGGCATGACTCCCAAATATTCACCAGTAAGACTGTAGAATCAAGCAAGGGTTTGTTTCATGATGAGTCAAGGAAGTTCAAGCGTCAGTGCCTTGGACAATACAAACCAGGGGTTACTACAGGTAGTCTTCAACTTATGATCATTCGTTTAGCGACTGTTCAAAGTTATGATGGCACTGAAAAAAGTGACTTATGACTAGTCCTCACACTTACAATTGTCGCAGTGTCCCTGCGGTTATGTGATCAAAATTTGGACCTTGGCAACCAGCATGTATTTATGACGGTTGCAGCATCCTGAGGTCACGTGATTGCCATTTGCGACCTTCCCAGCCAGCGTCCGACAAGCAAAATCAGTGGGGAACCACATGATTCACTTAATGACTGCCTCAAAAAATGTCGTAAAATCAGGTGCAGTCACATGATGTCTTGCTTAATGATTGTACCACTTAATGATGAATTTTCTGGTCCCTATTGTGGTCATAAGTCAAGGACTACCTGTATATGGATATAAAGCCTTCCCCAACTTTGGTGACCTTCAACTCTCAGAATTTTCAGCAATAGTCATTCAAGCTGGAAAATTCTGAAAGATGAAGTCCAGATATCTGGAGAGTGCTCCATTTGGGGTAGGCTAGAGTATATTCCCATAAGTAGAGTTTTTGTTCCTGCAACATCTGTAGATAATGCCACATGTTATACATAGTAGAGTGCATAGAAGTCCTGCTCAATATTCCAGTAGCTTTTTTTTGGTGGGGTAGCTGGAGAGGTAACTAAAAGGATGTGAATTTACTTTTTGTTAAAACTAAAGAGGGCAACCTTTGAAAGTCTGTAACTCCACATCCCAGAATCTGTAGGTTTTGTCAAAATAATGAAATGACCCTCATGACAGTGCAATGCAAACTTCATCCCTTTGATACATCCGGCAGTGTCATGACACATGTAAAAAAGGGCCAGAATTTGCTCTGCAATGGCAAGACGTTCATGTTCACCATTGGCCCTCCCTTGCTGCCCCCACCCCATCCTATGGATGCTTCTGGTTAGGCTGGAAAGGCTTTAAGGATGGACAGATGAGCCAGACATCTCTGCAGTTTGGCAGTCAAGTACCTGAATTTTGGTTTGGGCGAGTCTCTTTGGGACTTTGGGTTAGTATCTTTGGGATGGGAAGGGAGCAGTCAGAATCTCCTTTCTTCCATTCTCACCCTTACTTTTGCAAAAACAAAGTATGAAAAATCATTCATTTTGTGGCTGAATTTTGGTGGCCCAATCTTGGGGTTCAGAGGAATGTATGAAGCTCATAGATTTCCCCCTGTGGAGTTAAACTAAGAGCAATAAGATCAACAGTCTCTTCCTTTCTCTTGATTCTCTTTCAGGAACTCTAGCAAAAAACCCAAGCAATTGGGATATTCCAAAGAGATATTGTTATAACTGCATCCAACATTTCCAGCTAAGCCACAATGTTTCACAGTGTTTTTCCCCCACACTGAATGGCAAGGTTTGAATAATGAAGACTTTGCTCAACATAGGAAGATTTCCATCAGTTTTTTCCAGCTCAAGTAATCACAGCCCAGATATATGAGGTCTCTGCGTAATAAATGACCATACGGGCATTATATAAATCTTCTTATGTTTGAAAAGGATAAATGTAAAGCAAATACCCCATAACTTAGCTGTATCATTAGCTATAAATAAAAAGAGAGAAGCCTGCCATTTTCACTACATTTATGATGGTGAGCAAAGGAAGCGGGATGAACAGCTGAAGAAGTGGTTGGATAACTCATGATGTGTCCATGAACAACTCACGCAAAGTTGTTTGAACTCTGTCAGGATCTTTGGGGATTCATGCTTGGGAGCCTCAAAGTTAAGTCTTCCCGACCCAGTATCCTCCAGATTACAGGGTTTAGAATCCTGGCTACTGAACTTGTCTTATGTTGGTTAACCCTAACAGATGTTGCTGGAAACAGTGGCACCAAAAGTAGACAGCCCAGTTCTTGAACACGTTTTTGATGGCTGTGAGTGCCAATCAAAGGCAACATTAGACATTGTCTTCCAGATTATATTCTCTCATGAGGAGAGAACTAGAGAGTGGGCTTTGGCAACTGCTGGTAGAAGAACCAGTCTGAGTGATGCTGAGAGTCCTGGGAACACCTCTCCGTCGGTGACACAAGGCTAGGAATAATTTTAGGACTGAGGCCAGCTAGTTTTGATGGAATTACTGTCAAGCCCCATAAAACTGGGCAAGGTCAATGAAACAAGCATTGAAGCAAGCATTGCACTGCCTTTAATGGTAGTATGCGAGGAAAGGACCAAAACATGGAAACTGAAAGAAGTGTTTCCAATCCTCATTTATTAGTGAGTCTCTTGGAATGTCTCTTCCCAGATTACTGGCCACCCAGACTGAGTGACCATTTATAAGATCACTTACTAACAGACTCTCCTTCTGTCTGTTGCTTGCTTGGGTCTAACTTCCCTTCCATTTCTCTCCTGGCTTCCCCACCATCTCTCAGTGAGAAAGATCATTTGCAGAAATAAGCGACATTGTTTTAAAACCTATTTTCTACTTATTTAATTTGTTCCTAGGTTCCCATATTAATCAAGCATCTGGGCTATCCTATATTTTCTGCACATTCCACGGAGTTACTTTACCTTAAAAACTTCTAAACTTCCAAAGAGATTTAGTGGTGCCAGAATAAAAGGATAATCAAGGAAAAGACCCACACACGAAGGAGGGTACGGGACAATGAGAGAAAACAAGGCAACGAATCAAGAAAGTGTGCATACCTGAGAATAAATTGGTCCACTGTGATATTGTTAGCAACTGCCACGGAAGCACTCACGACTTCCCCCTGTTTGATGGGCTTCAATGGCAGCTGGATGACAGTGTTGCTGTCCAACCATAACTCAGTCAGCTGAGAACTCTCCGGTGCCTGGTGGAGACTGATAGACCCAATGCGTTGTAAGTGGGACATGGTCTCCCCTGCCCCTTCTTTTCCTGGACGGATAGCATTACCCTTCCGTACGTCTTCAGTGTTACACTCCCCATTTTCATCCCCAGGCTGGACAGTGTAATAAAGCTCTACAGAGACCCCATCAGAGTGGTCAGCTGCTTTCTTACGGCCACTGCCAACTGTTGGTGGGTTAAACCAAGTTGGCTGAAGATCTAGGTTAGCCACGCACAATCCCAGGTCTCCCTTCAGTCTGCAGCTACCTCGAACTCCCAGAGTTTCCCAAAAGGCAAAAGCTTGCATGCAAGGTAGCTGTTCAGACATGCTGTAGTCATCCCAATCTCTTCCCACAATGTAGAAGAGAATTTGAACTTTGGGCCTGGTCAAGTAGATTTTTTCACTCATGATATAAGCTTTCAGCTTCCAGTTGAATGTAAACTGCTTGGTGGACCCAAAAACATTGGAAGTCAACAGCAGATCCTGGGGTACATCATGCTCCACCAAGAATGGCCCATAGCTAACACTGATGATGGGCATCTTCTTAGTTTTGTACGTAAAGAAGGTTTCCATACGTGATTGCAAACTTGAGTTTTTCATGAACTCCTGGTTGGCTTCTCTAAGGAAAAATGAGGACTCCGTACCAGAAATCTGATACTTTACAGGTAGATACGCTGGTAAAGATGAAAATTTCTGGACACTGTCCAGGGCTACACGCCCCATGGCCACTATTATAGAGAAAGAAAAAAACACAGAATTAAACATTTAACTTCTTAGGTGCAAAATAGTAATCACTTAATCAGAGTTACCAAACCATGTTTTCTCAATATGATGATCTTTTTGTTCTGGTTTTAACACCAAGATTGGCATTGACTTAGTACATTATTCTAATATTTTGCTAACTGTTCTGAGCAATAGAAAAGTGTGAAGGAGAAGGAAAAGAGGAACCATTTTCATTTTCTAGTTTCTTATTTTTCACAATGCACACTCTATATGGTGGTACCTGATCTATTTAAAACTATTATAGATCATTTTTGAGAGCTAGACAGCACTCTCAAGGTTTGTGTAGCAGGATACGTTTTTATAAATTCAGATCAGCAATTCATAACAAGGAATGTAAAATCAATGTTTGCATGTATGTGAACAAGATCCCAGATTAGCCTGAGATACTATTCTCTGTCCAGATCTTTCAGAAAAACTTTTCCTTCATCATCAGCTGATACTCCAAGGCCTTCTCTATCGTATCTTCCAATATTCCAGCCAAAGAAGATTCTGCCCATGCTTTGATCATGCATGGAACCATCTTCTCGTTCTTGGATGTGCTTCAAGAAAGTGTGAGATGATGCAAAGTGCCATGTTGAGACCCATCCCATTGTCTTTTCATCTCAACAAGGTGCATCATGTTGCCTTCACTGCTGTGAAGCACCTCATGAAAATCCTAGCTGTTTTCCCCAGGCCTGCTGCAAGTCTGTTTTCAACCAGATTTCTAGGAGAGATTTACCCAGAAGTTCCAAGTGGTTGAATAGACACATACTATTGTTCTGAGAACGTTCCAAAGAGCAGAGATGAACGGAAGGAAATCGAACAGATAATCCATAACTCCTACAACCCAACTATGATTCCTAAGATCCTGCTGGGGGAAGCCATGACAACTAATATTTATACACCTGCAATCTACTTTTCAACATTTGGGGTTCAGTTGCGTTCTACTTTGGGAGCTTGGTTCGGCTCAGCTGCAGGCTCATATTTTAGCATGCCAATTTTAGGATGTGAAATAACAATCACAACTTGGATATAAGGTTTAGGCTGCAAATTCTCAGTTCCTTGCATCATCTCGAAGAATTCAACCTCAACAAGATGGCAACTTCATTAGCATTCTACCTAGGCAGTGCTTTGCAAACATGTCTGTGCCATCTGCCTTCCTGCGAGAATGAGACTTGGTGGGATGCTACGAAGTGGAAAGCTATAAAGAGTAATCCTTTTTTTTTTTCCCCCTGATGAGGCATGGAGGAGAAAACAGCAAGGAGAGCCATAACTTCAGAATGGTTATTTAAGGTGATGCATCTTCATATATAATTCATACAGAAGAACGCGATGGTAGAATTCATTGCCTTCCAAATGAGCAAAGTGCTATTAAAATCCAGAAAATGCTATTTATTTTTTTAAAAAAGTAATAACAACACAAGACAAGAAAACACGTACGAGCCTGCCAATAAAAAAGAAAATCTAATTGACAAGTAAATTATTGCTAGTACCCATCTTTGTCTTTCTTCATTCCATCTTAATTTCCATCTCAGTCACACCATAGCCAAAAAGGGTTCAGTACACATGTTCAGTATAGAAGCTCACCGAAATAGATGTCTTGCAGGAGGGGGACATAAGTCAGTGATGCTTTGAAACCCAGCAATCCCACAATCTCAAGTCTTGGACAACAGGGTGGAGAAAACCCTTCCCCATCCCCAAATCACTCCCCCTAAAGCAGCTACATTTTCTTAGTGACATTTTAGCCATGAGATCTTTCAATTCAGCCTTTCAGCTGGGGCTGCATTCCAAAAAGCGTGTGCTAAGCTAGGATAAAGAAGCAGGCAGGACCAACACCAACTTTAATTTCTTTTAATTGAACGGGCAATGCCATGAACTGGAAACAGTTAATTAGATTGCTCCCTGTATCATTCCTCCTTTTACCACTTTGCAAAACATAATCCGCTAGTTAACATTTGAAGGGATTAAACAGTCTAGAACTGTAACTTCTCTCTATTAAGCAAGTGAAGAGTTGAGCTACAGCCGAGTGTCAGCCAGTAGACGAGTGGTACTAAGTCCAGAGTCCAAGTGAAGAATCAAAGCCAAATGTATGGATTTGGGCTTCAGATTGGGACACTATGTTGGAATTCCCTAGGACCAGGCAACGTCTAAACCCAACTTGGAGGTCTATTATAAATTCTACCTAGATCAGCAATCTACTTGAGTAGACACCCCTAAGCATGGGAATATTTTGCTGCTCAGAACAACACTCCAGTCCTTCAGCTCATCACTCAGCGCTGCTTAGAGTATACCAAAAGTTCCCGACACAGGAGGAACTTGTGACAGCCTCCACTGTTGTAAGCCTAGACAAATTAAGAGGGTTTCCATTGTCACCCATAACAAGGTGGTTTCCGCTCCATTCTCGATCGCCAGAGGCGTCTTCCTATCCTGGGGAGGACACCCCCGTTTTCAACCTTTAGCTCTGCCTTCTAGAAGAAGAAGTAGCTTTCTATGGGCTCCATCGAAGAAAGGGAGGCTCAGCTTGGGTCACAAAGAGGGCTATCAATGGTTATACTGATCCCCTCTGTGAATACTGCTGCACATATCTCACTCCTATCATCTCCATCTCCAGTGACAAGAATGGTAGTTGGACTTCCTGCAAAGTACCATTCTGGTCACCAGAAGATAGACCTGAGAGTTTCATCTTAGTAAGAGATTATCCAAATGACCCGAAGAACAAGATGCAAATGTATTGCTGTACATTATTATATGACCTTCCCTCCTGTGTATCTTACCGAATGCAAGTGGAACAGGCAATAAAGGAATTAAACCACATTCAGTTGAAGTCAGTATATGCAAGCAAAGGCCAGGAAGAAGCCTTAACCCCTTCCTTCTAGCTAGATTAACTCTTTCATGAGGTCCACTTTCTGGTGGACTTTCATGGTAACTCCAACGATTGTTCTTTGTCAAAAACAATGCTTTGGTGGTTTACAGAAGGAGATAAGATGTGTAACTTGACTGAATAGAGATACCTAGTCCCACTATTGAACTCTTCCTAATGGTTGCCACAAGATTCTTCTTTCCTGTACCTTAACCCCATTATCCATGTCCTGCTGTCTGGCACCACAGTAAATAGATCTTGACTCCCAACCAGGTCTTGCTCAGCATCTCATGAGCTTCTGGACCACAAAACCAATAGTCTTTGGGGTAAAATTAATTCCTCCACCACATTCCCACCAGCATTGTCATTTTTTTTTCCTTCAAGGCAATGATACCTAGCAGTAACAACCACCCCAAAGGAATGTCTGTGCATATCCCATCCTTGAAACTCCCCTCCCTGAAAAGAGTCACTGGGAGAAGATCCTGACCGATCCAATCCCATTTCACATCATGTAAGGTCTTGTGTAGTCTGGGATAGCATCCAAAACAGATGCAGCAGGGGAGAATTAAAATCAGATGTTGGGAAACGCTCTACCCTTTAGAGGTTGTCATGGTTTTGAACTCTTTTCAATACATCTGTTACTTCCACCAAGATCAGTCAACCCATCAAATTGGCCCCAAAAGATAAGAGATTATTATTATATTTTAAAGATCATCTTCACTGGCTTTTGTGCCAGTCTCCACTGAGAGGCAGTCTCTGTAAGGTCACTTACCAGCACAAGAGAAAGAGATACACTGATTTTTATCACGAGCATTCCACAAGGTCTCCAGCCCATCTCATATTGTTTGTGAGAATTAGCTGGGAGGCAGAGAAACAGACAGGTCTGTAAGATCAAAGGGCATGCCAAGTATTCACAGTAAAAAAAAAAAAAAAGGCCAGATGCTCCATGGAACAAATAAATCAAGCCAACTGCTTGTCATAGAAAGGCATTAAATCAATCTGTGGCATTCACTCTTTGAAGAATCCATTTCTCTATCTGTCTAGTGCATATTCCTTGCTGAAGAATGTCCAGAAGTGGCAACCCCATTCTTGGACCTTTAATTTCTTTCCATTTGCTTGATTTCCATATCATCCTTCCTGGTAAATCAGTTGCTTATGGATTAAGAATTTTTTAAAAATCAAATTACAACCCCTGGTGCAACAATATAATTAAAATCCTATACATTATGCAAACCAACCAGCAGCAAAGAGCTAACCATTCATCATAGGAAGTCTCCAAAGGTCCTACTTCCTTGCACAGGAACCAATCTGAAGGATCCACAACAAATCAATCAGCTAAACTGAATGCCAGAAGGTGACTGATGCAGTCCATAACCAAGTTCCTACTCCTTGGACCTGCATCTTTCCTCCAAGCATCTCTCTTATGTCATTGGCATCGGGAACAATACTATGCCACCCATAATTAAGGAGATCCAACAGCAGTTCCATAGCTGCTTCCATCGCTAGCCCATTTTATACTCTTCCAAGCCAATGCAAAAGAATTAGGTCATGTCTTTCCACCAGTGATGGTGGGGTTGGAAAATAATGCAGATGCTTTCTTAATTAGGGCCACCTTCTTCCAATGTTTCTGCTGTCAGGCTGTTCATTTGAGGCATTGTTTCCTTGTGTTAGGCCAGCTAATTAAAGGACTTCAAGAAGAAGCAAGCAAATGATAGATCTGATACTGTTACCCCCCATCCCCCTTCTCTTTTTCCTTAATGGCAATGCATTTTTCCTCTCCTTTCAATTAGGGCCATAGCCATTAATGGATTACTCAACTGAATTAATAGCTCCAAGGCAGCTTAAAAGGAGAGAGAAAGAGAGAGCTCATTTTAATTAGAAACAGAGACGATGACCCCATATTGCCATCATGGAATTGCTACTGGCTACCCTGGAAAGTTCCTCCAGAGAAAATGACTCCTCAATCTCCAGGGGTCTTCAGTCATTCCTCCCTCATTTTCTGTGCCACAAGAAGACACTGTGACGCTCAATCCAATTGACTTGGGCACACCAGCAGAAGAACCTAAGCATTAATTGGAAACAAGCGCATTGTTATTGGACT